TGTTGTCACCACCAGGAACCCCTCCCTGAGAAATGTCGGTCACTGGAGTCATGTAAACAGGAAGTGGCTGTAAAGAGGCTGCACGAGATCAGAGGAATAAGAAGAGAAGAAAACTGAATTGAATGAATAGCAATTGTTTATTATCAGAGCAAACTACAGATCCCATCTGCTGCATGGAACCTGGAGTCCCGTCTGATGACTTTCAGCTGTTTTATATCAAATCAGAAATCTTACAGCTGCGATAATATCGGCTCATCAGTGCGATCTGTCCGACCGATTCCCCTCGTCACTTCCACCCTCACATTCCGGATCATCACCTGCAATGTGTTTGGAACTTTTCGGGGTTCTGTGATGACCGGTTTGTACAAAGTGTCCGATGTCACGGAGGAAATCCTCTTCAGCACACGGACAGCTCCGGTCGGCTCCGACTCAGGTGCGATCATTGTGTTCAGCTCACCGGAAGGAACCTCAATCACCTGCAACGTGCAGAGAGCAAATCTACCGGACAGGAGGGAATCCCGAATACAAGAAAACCTCCCGGATGACTTCACATTTCTCTCCATCTTGTGGCCCCGATAAGGAGGAAGGACTACAGCCGACCAGCGATCAGGCCACACAGAGGAGCAGCAGACGGTCGGGGTCACTATCAGATCTGGAGGTACATTAGACATGAGATAGAAGTCACCATGTTGGCCGGTTTTGCTTTCAGCTCCATCCGACCTCTTCCTCCCATAGACCGGCCCCTCCCCCCTCCATAGACATAAAGATGTCAGATTGGCCGAGCAGGTCATACATGTTGATGGGTCAGGCAGCAGGTTGGTCACATGAGCAGATTTCTGATGTCTGTTTGGTAACATTGTACTTGTGACACAACAATGTATCCATGTTTGGTAACCCATAGCAACCCATCACCGCGCATTAGTTCAGGTCGGGGGGGATTTTCCTGATGGAGATATTTGCGGATATTTTAGATAAAACATTTTCTATTTTTGGGGAGTTTTTGGATCTTTTTCATTTCCTGTAAATGGATGACGATGATGGCGGGTCATGTGACGTCTCCTGGAGGTGTCGCTGCATCTATGAGGGGGGCGCAACTCCCACATTTCTGGGATCAGTAAGGCTCGGTTCACACCGGCCGACCCCCGGGGCGTGCGATCGTATCCCAGTGCGCACACCAGTTGCTGCGCGGCCCCATTCTCACCTGGGCGGGGGCGGATCAGCGTGGTAAAAAAAATAATCTCGGGGAGCAATTGGGGCGGATGCAGTGTGGGACCTACGTAAACTCAGATGGACTAGGTTTGCCCCAATCCCCCACTTATCACTGCCCGTGAGGGGTAAGTGTGTGTGTGTGTGGGGGTGGGGGGGGTCTGATGCATTGAGACGGCCCATTCATTTGGCTGGCATCACACCAGACTGCTAGAATTACCATTCCTCCTGTAATAAAGACCGCTCACTGCTGCTCTCTCTCCTTGTGCAGGGTGACCAGTCTTGTCTCCGCCCCCTCCTGTAATAAAGACCACCAACAGCTGCTCTCTCTTCTTGTGCAGGGTGACTGGTCTAGTCTCCGCCCCCTCCTGTAATAAAGACCGCTCACTGCTGCTGCTCTCTCCTTGTGCAGGGTGAACCGGTCTTGTCTCCGCCCCTTATAAAGCATTCAGTGGCTTTATATCCTTTTTCTGCTATTGAGGAATATATTTGGGTGGAAATTTTAGTTCCCGGAGTTCGGCTTTAAGTCGCTAATATTTGCTACGTGATCGGCTTCTGGGAACTTCAGGTTTTCTCACCGGCCGGAACATTTATGGTACTTATTTACCTCATTATTGGCCGGAGGGAAAGTCACATTCTTCTGACACGCATGCGGCTCATGTCTCCTCCATCCCACCTGCACTGGCTTCCCTTAGCTTGTAAATAAGTTGTCTCTGGAAACCGGTCTCAGCCGGAACATTGATGCGCATTGTGGAGCTATGAGTATTAATGGCTAACCTGCATCTCCTGTCACAGGGCCACAGCTCGTCCATGGAGGGCCCCAGATACCCCGTCCATCCTTGTGCGCGGCTCTGGTGCCGTGTGATAACGCGTCTCCTCTGCTCAGGCCGAGATATAGAAATGGTTATCAGCCGGACAGACGAAACCTCAGCAGTCAATCACCTCCCGCTAATCAATCGTCTAATATTAGTTCAGCTGCTGCGCCTCCTGATTGTCGGAGGTTTCCTGGAATTGTTAGACCGCTCGCACTATGGCTGCTGATGTATGTCCATGCGTGCGCGCTGTT